TTTAGCCTGGAGAAAAGAAGGTTGAGGAGAGACATTATTGCTCCCTGCAACTACCTGAAGGGAGGTTGTAGCCAGGTGGGGGTTGGTCTCTTCTCCCAAGGAACAACGGATTAAACAAGAAGAAATGGTCTCAAGTGTTATCAGGGGAGGTTTGGATTGGATATCTGAAGAAAATTCTTTGCTGAAGGGGTTGTGAGGCACTGAAACAGGCTGCCCAGCAAGGTGGTTGAATCACGTGTAAGTGTTTAAAAGACAAACAGATGTGGCGCTTAGGAACGTGGTTTAGCACTGGATTGGGTAGAGTTAGGTTAATGGTTGGACAAAGCCACAACCAGATCCCTAGTAGTAAGTCATTCTGGTGACCCATACCAAACCACAAAATATGTATTACCTTGAGCAATTGGGGTAATGACATGGAAAAAGTTGCCCATGGACATCCCTGCGGCACAATAGATTCTGTACAGTCCATGCCTTTAAACCTTTGACTGCAAAAAGACACCCAGCACAGACATGTAAATACCATCCAATCAACAGCTAAAAAGTTAAAGCTAAAGTTATCCTCATCTGAAAATTCATCCAGCCTCATCAGTTTCCTTCCTACAAGTTCTACAGATGAAGCTCATTCTTCAAGCTTCACTGTACTGACACCTGCACCCCCCAGCACAAAGACACAAGCCCTAAGGGGGCCAGAAGAGATCTGAAATGGGTGTAATCTAAAAGAACTACCCTTCTATGGTATTTGTGATCACCTCCTTTGGGTTAAGACTAGCCTAAAATTTGGAGTTAACATATTAAGTGTCAGGTCATGCACTTGGATCACAACAACCCTGGGTAACACTACAAGCTTGAGGAAGAGTGGCTGGAAAACTGCCCAGCAGAGAAAGACCTGGGGGTATTGTCAACAGCCAGCTGAATATGAGCCAGCAGTGTGCCCAAGAGGCCAAGGTGGTCAACAGCATCCTGGCTTGTATCAGAAATAGTGTGTCCAGCAGGACTAGGGAAATTATTTCTCCCCTGTACTCAGCACTGGTGAGGCCACACCTTGAGTACTGTGTCCAATTTTGGCTTCCCCACTACAAGAAAGACATTGAGGTGTTGGAGCGACTCCAGAGAAGGGCAATGAAGCTGGGGAAAGGTCTGGAGAACAAGTCTTATGAGGATTGGCTGAGGGAACTGGGGTTGTTTAGCCTGGAGAAAAGAAGGTTGAGGAGAGACATTATTGCTCCCTGAAACTACCTGAAGGGAGGTTGTAGCCAGGTGGGGGTTGGTCTCTTCTCCCAAGGAACAACGGATTAAACAAGAAGAAATGGTCTCAAGTGTTATCAGGGGAGGTTTGGATTGGATATCTGAAGAAAATTCTTTGCTGAAGGGGTTGTGAGGCACTGAAACAGGCTGCCCAGCAAGGTGGTTGAATCACGTGTAAGTGTTTAAAAGACAAACAGATGTGGCGCTTAGGAACGTGGTTTAGCACTGGATTGGGTAGAGTTAGGTTAATGGTTGGACTCAATGATCTTAAAGGTCTTTTCCAACTAAACAATTCCATTATTCTATGGTTTAGGAGAGAAGAATACAATATATTCCTGATCACTGAAGTGTTCAAATGGTCTTTAATTCATTTCCACATGACATAAGTAATTTCTCTTTGGATAAACCTAGAGTCCAAGTCATTATTAAGACTGAGAAACAGTTGGAAAGTATTTTTACTTCTGAGGGCTACTGAAGATACAGACTGGTGCTGGTAGCACCAAATCAGCCCAGATTTGGTCATGAGACAGCAAATACCATCTATCCAAGAGTTGGAGGGCTCTGTTTTTCATAGGGTATGCCATGAAAAAGTAAAGGCTTGTTTTGACAAGGGACTGGATGGACTAGAGTTAATAGCAGAATGGCAAGGTATCACCTCTCTGGGATTTAGGTTAGGATTCCTGAGAAATCCTTAGGTTAGAAATCCTGAGGTTGGAAAATTGTACCCTACATTCTGTTCGGACCATCGAAGTAGGAAGAGGTCTGATGCTGGCAGGGATGAAAGGGTAAAACTGAGTTTTGAGGGATTAGGGGTAGGGGTTCTCTCCTTGTGAGAGTGTTAAGAAGTTTCTCCCTGTTAGGATATAGATATGGAAGGTTAGGTTTTGTTTCTTCATCCTAGAAAACCTGCTGTTGCTGTTAAACCAGACGGCTTGGGTTTTGGTCTGTCAAAGTCACCAGTCTTTCACTCGAGATCAGCTTTTTATTGGGCCATAAATGAAAGAAGCGGGATGAAAGAAGTGTATTCCTAAATAGAGCTGCAATTAGTTATGAGATACCAAGTGTTGTTTTCCTGGCCTTAATATGGGAGTTTGTGCAACAGCTGACAAACTAGGCAAATTTATCATTCCTGCAGATGCCAGAAGAGATGCAGGAGCACTGAGCACAGCAAGGACAAGGAAATGTGATGGAACGGGCTGTTCAGGTTTCGGTGAAGTTCATCTTTCAGGTCCACAAGGGGCTGAGAAGTTAAATGCATTCTTAAACAGTTTGTGTGCTGCTGGGCTCTACTGAGCTCTGACACCTTTAGTCAGGCTAGCGTGTAAGTTCAGGTCACTGGACCAGAGTTTAAGGTTACGATTAGCTCTTGGAAGAGAAGTGGCTGGAGTGTCAGATTTAACACAGTATTCCAGCCATGCTGGGAGAAGTTTTGGGGCAGTTAGCTGGCCTTACTGGATTCAGGCCAAGGTAAGAGTTTGTCATAGTTTGAGCTGAAAAGCAACATTTGCGTCTGGATCCTGCTAGGGTTGGCGGGCTTCAACCTGAGTTAGTCCTAACATATTGATCCAAATTATTTCATCTGTAGAGTCTGAAGGATCAAGTAGGGTTTAGTGACAACATGACCTGGTATTGTACAGGACATTGGAACTAGAATGACTGCTGAAAAAAATGAGCCAAGGTTAGATACAGGGCAAGCAGGGCATAAGTTTAGGGCTAAGGGGTTAACATTTGGTACCAAGTTTACATACCAAGTCTGTGTAAAAGTTTGGTACCAAGTTTACAACGTTTGGTACTAAGTTTAGGGCCCTTTGGTTAATGTTTAGTATCAGAGAGGCTGAAGAGCTTTGTGAAAGACCCTTGTGTAACTGATGCATTGCTCTTTTTCCTGAGAGAGAAAGGGACTTCACAGGAGAATGTGCAACAGACAAAGGAAGTAGGAGAAAGAGGAAAAAGAGACATCAGTACTTATCAAGACTTTGGGACCACGCGGGAACGGTTTAGAAGTCAATACACACGTGCACATCTGTTTTCCCCAATCTTTAACCTTCCTCCCATCCTTCCTGTCTCCCTGCGAGTCTCCCTCCCCCCCATCTCCCACAGTCCTCTGCCTCTCCATGTCACACAGACGTTCCTTTCTTTGTGTTCCTCTGCGTCCTTCCCAATCCCAGCACAGGGCAGAGACAGCAAGAGAAGGCAAAAACAAGGCAAGAAGCTTTATAATATTTTTTTTTTTCATCCTGCAACAAGAACCATCACCACCACCACCACAACAGCAATAATTAATGGCAGTGCTGCGGCACCGTAGCTTTGCTAGACTGGGCAGAGAGGTAAGTGAGGATGGCAGGGGCTTCAATCACCACAAGCCTTTCGGGGAGGGACGGAAACATTTGAGGGCCATCAGCTCTGCCCGCGGGTTCGCCGGCAGGTGACCCTGTCAGCCCCTGCCTCCCGGCACCCTCCTGTGGCACCAGCCGGGGTGCGAACCCTCACGGGTGGACCCCGAGCCTCCCCGTGGGGCACTTGCGAGGAGGCAGCCCGGGTGCCTGGCGGCTGGAAGGGCCGGCTCCCGCCGCACGGGG